CAAATGGCTGCAATATAACAAAGAGTGAAAAATTGAAGGGGGTCTGAATACTTTCCGTACCCACTGTATATCCAACTTACTATATAAAGTTTATATATCCAAATTTTAAACTCTTGTCATGACCATGTAAACCCAGTACAACATTTAAGTTTTATATGAAATGAGAAACCAGAAGTATACCCTCCTAGATCAGTAGTGCCAACACTAAAATAATAATTTACATCACTGCTCTTAATTTTTTTGACTCCATGCAAGACCGTCATTGTCCACAACAATATTCGAAGGCTCATAACCTTTCCATTTTTTTACAGACTATTTATACTCTATAAAATATTTTAGAGCTTGGCATAACTACAAACATTTATAAAACAGATAGTTCTGGTGTTCTGTCGATTTGTGCTACCCTGACAGATTTTGCTACCTCCCATTAAAACAGTGGGTAGTCGACCCCAACCCTAAACCTACCCTTAGAGTAATGCAGATACATTAAATATTGTTGTTCAGCATAAGAAAAAGGACGTAATATTGATGTGCGCATGCGCAGTTAACCCTGGTAGGACAATCTGACAGGTAGGATAAAATGTCAGGACACCGGTCCTTGATTCTGATTGGCTGAGCCACGTTCGAAGCTGTTGTAAATTACTCTACAAACATACACCTTTGTTTACGTTTGTGTGTTACTCAGCAACCACTTTGTTGCAACCACAACTGATTCTGAGGAACTACATTGTTTGGTGGAAGAAAAATGTTTTTATTAATATCATTACACTTTATTTGCTCTGTTTTATTTTGTGAAACCTTACTACGTATATGGAATAACCGTTTTATAAAAGCAATAAACCCTGTGAAGCCGTGGTTTACAGTGAATTTATAACAGCGTCGTGCCTAACAACGCCCCTTAGCTGTTATAAATTCACTGTAAACCACGGCTTCTTGGGGCTTATTGCTTTAGTATGCCATGGCCATGCAGTTCTAATATTTAAAACATAACAGACTATATTAAAGGAGCCATGAAACTGAAAATCAAAATGTCCTTCATATTTAGAGGTTACTCTAAAATAAAAACATACTGCAAGTTCACTTGCCTCTCTTAAAGAGGCAACACCCCTTGAAATGTTTGTTCATGACAGAGAGTGAAAATGAGGATGGAAAATTATCATCCTTACAAATATTTGAACTTTTTTTTTTTTTGATGCAAAAAACTTCATAAGCTAACCTCTAGAAACATAACAGATCTGAAAATGCATTCCATGACCCATTTAAAGCCTGTTTATTTTAAATAATTTTAAGTCATCTTGAGCAAGCAGTTTGCTGAGGCCCCCTGTTTGACAATCACAGATTTAGACAATATACAGCCTAACATCTCTGCTTTTGAACCCTCCAGAATACCTTTGAGATTTCTGCATGTTTTTGCAGACTGAGGGACAAGCAGAAATTGTTTTCTGTGGCACGTCTCAGATGCTGTCGTTAGATAATATCCAGTAATATCTCTTTATTTCAACAGTTGCATAAACAATTCGGCGTATTTTGGTAACTTCTTGTAATTCGTGGCTGCTTCCTCTATGATGCAATTTATTACACTTTTATTGTTATTATTTCATGCATGATGAATCACACCTTGGGATTTGTTAACGCAACAATTAACTCGATAATAACTCAAGTAAAGTTTCAAAACTCATAATTAGGAAATTATGTAATTCTTAATTACATCTGTTATTACACTGTGTTTAATGTTATACTCGATGGTAAAGAAGGTACCTGTTGAAGCTATTTCTCAAAAGCAGGTTCTGACTGTCAGGAGGACTGTGGCACCCGTAGACAGGCGGTGGGACAGAGTACTGCTGTTCACCTGCATATTCACAAAATCAAAGCACATATTACAACACTCAAAGAGCATATATATCAGCAATATCTGAAAGAAAGTCCTCTTCAAAGACCTCATACTTCAGTTTTTTACAAGTCCTGTTTACAAGTGAAACAAAGCGTTTTACAGTAGAGCTAACAGAGAGTGTGGCCTCATCTTTACTACGGTTATCCAAACAGCCTGAGACCATAAAGCAGTCAGCAGAGTTTCTGAGAGCACTCTGTTCATTTGTTAGGGCAATAGACAAGGAATCAGTCCCTCGGCAGCCCTAAACATTCTTCTCCACATCCACAATTCTGCTTCCTCCTCTCAGCTGCCCGAAAAAGAGTGGCGGTAATTTATGCTTAATGAACTTTGAAATGGTTGCATACAGTGTTTTGAGTGTTCGAGGACAGAGACAGAGAGATAAAAATGAGAGCAAGAGGGAAAAAATATGCCCCGACTGTAAAACTCCATCTGACACTTAACCTCAAGATGATCCGTGCGGATACAGTGATCTCCAGATAGCTATACGTCTTATTTGTCATACTATACTTAAATACACACTCACAAATTCACTTTTGTGAAAAACAAGTACACTTTAGCATAACTTTAAAAAGAGATTTTTGTAATAGTACACTTCAAAACAATATACGGACACTTTTTGGACAATTGCATGATATTTCAATTAAATGAAAATGTATTAGAGTTTAAATTTATATTAATTAAATTAGTTGAATGTAAAAGTCAATTTTCAGAATTATATTTATTGTCATTTGAAATATGTTTAAAATGTACTGCTGTACATACTGACAAGCATTTATGGTAAACTAAAATACACTTTAATGTAATTTCTATTGAAACTTATATCATGTATTTAACATATATATATAATTACACATTTGTGATTATGAGGTTGCAATTTAGAACATTTCAAATATATTAACTTTAAATATATTAAACTTTGACTTAATATCAAATAATACACTAGTTAAAACTATAATCAAGTACTTTACATTTGTTTTAGTATGTTAGTTATAGTGTACTTGGTTAAAGCATGATAAAAGTTTAAAACAAAATGTCTTCAAAAATGCTAAAGTGTACATCAAGTAACATGTTCATGAAAGTGTACTCTTTAAGTACTTTTTATTTAATTAATAATATATTATCTTCAAGTACAGTTTTTTTTATATAGTTGTAAGACTTGAAGTACACTAGAAGTGCACAATCAATACAATTCAGCACACTTCTTTTTCACAAGGGAGTGCAAAGAATTTAAAGGTGAAGTGCGTGATATTCGTAGCTCCGCCTACAGGCTCACCCCATTGGCTGAATCTGTGTTGCTGTGTCAGACTGGTCAGGATGCTCAAACAAACTGTATTTACACTGTACATGGAAATCAACCTGCAAATGGTTCACTTTTGCATCATCATTTATTCAAAGGCATTTACTGCTTTATATGCCACACTGAGAATATATTTTCCTTACCCATGGTGCTTTGGGGGGACATGGGGTCCTCATGTTTGAAGGTATTGATGGGGAATGGTGGAGTGTGGTGAGCAGGTGTGTGTCCGTAATTGGGAGCTCCATCTAATGCTACTGTACCATAACCTGAGAGAAAGAGACAACGAAAAACAGAGAACGAATGAGTGATTTTGTTCTCAGTGAAATCCACCTTTTCTCACTGAATGCATCTCAGCTGACTCTGTTCTTCCTGTTGAAGAATTGTGCATTGTTCTTTGTTTACAAGTGCTAAAAATGATCTAATGCAAGTCAAATCATTTGAAAATGACCTAATATAAACATAGAAAAGGTTTCACTAATACTCCTGGAAAAAATGCATTAAATATACATCCCTCTCCAACAGACTTATAATTCATCAGGTGCGTAAACCCGCTTGAGACCAATAAGCTCATGCAATGAATCAAGTTGTCGCTGTGACTTTTCCTAAAGTTAATCTAATGATAAATTGCAGAAGTTGATATGGAAATCTTTGTACTGTACTGTGCATCTACGCACACTAACATCAGACATTTGTGTTGTGAGCTCTCAGATTTAAAGGAGAGAAGCTCTTCAGGATGTTCACAGTGCTGTAAGTCATCAACACAAAGAAAACGTGAATGCTAGATTGCAGAGAGAGACACCGCGTGAGACTTATTTTGCATGTGCAATAAAGTCCAACCTTAATGAGCCATTGAGCTATAACACTACAGGAAAATGGCATTCCATGCTCTAAACTTTAAGACCATTTTTTAATAAACACATTATCTCCAGAAAGTTTGCAATATTTATTTGGTAGGTTGGTTTAATGGAAAATACTGCTTTAATCCTTTAAGAGACATTTGAATCTAGTTTCGTTTAGAACATCAGCAGTCAGAGCATCAATATTCTGGTTTCCCAAATGTTTTAAAGAGGTCAGAAGTGCCCTTCAAGATCCAGGACGTCTATCAAAGCTGACGCAGCAGATATAAAAACCTTAATGCAGAATTCCATTTCATTAAAGCATCTCAAACTGAGCACAATGGACAAATATAAATGTTGGCAGAATAGTCGGCTGTATTTTACATATTCAAATGTTCACATTCAAATCAAAAAGTATTTTTGATTTTCCTTGGTTATCAGATACTATGAATCATATTCAAGGATTCTATGAATTTCACTTCTAATCTTGAACCTTTTTTATCGTCTATCTATTTAATCAAGTAAACTACTGCTGTACTCTGCAAGTCATTTAATAATAAATCCATGTTTAACTGTGAATATGATGGTTATTTTATATATAACATATGATTAAAAATAACTTAAGAATTAAAATAATTATAATTTGTATAATTTCATTTAATGTATAATTACATGTAGTATTATTATTATATTTATAATAAAACATAAAAATCTTTTTTTTTTTTAATAAGTATAACATTAATATTTAATTCAAATGCATAATTAATGCACTTTTCAGTGATAATTTGAGAATTACAAGAGATCCTCTATAAATAATTTGGCATCAACAGCTCCGTAACTTTACAATCACACACCAGCTTAATGCAAAACCTCAAACATCTCGTGTCAACTCTGAAGTTTGGTGTTCTTTATGACAGCAGAGACAACTGAGAAAAAGATTTTGTGGTTCATAACAGAGAGACTGTGAGCCACGAGCGGGACGGTCAGCTGTCTCACCCTGGGTGCGAGGGCTGTCCATGCAGCCTGGCAGATAAGGCCCGCTGGAGAACATCCTGCTCTGACTGGACGGAGAATCAGCAAATGCCCCGTGCATCCCCATGAGCTGCCCCGAGAAGTGCACGGTGAAGGCCCCCAAACCGCAGTGCGGATCCTCGTGAGGGTCTGCAGGCCCCCAGCCCGGCTCCTGTTTGATGAAGGAGTGGGAGGGAAGAGATCCATACGGGGAGGCAGGGTGAAAGTCCAGCATCGGTCCCCACTGCGGAGCTCCGCCGACGGGCAGGGAACAGTTTGCGTTCGGGACCGCTGGAAGCAGGGTGCTCAGGTCTCTGACGTCCGATCCCATCAGGCCACACGTCTCTGTCAGCATTTAGGAGGATTTTCTTTGTTGCAACACCCTTGAATATCTGCAGACTAGATTTCAAGAAGAACCTGCGCTCAAAGCTACAGGAAAAATCTAAATCTCAAAGAAAAGAGCTTGAAGAGGTCCTAGCAGTCCAGCGGAATGCACGTTTATCTGCTTCTGAGATGGAAAGCGTGTTTGGAGAAACGCATGGGAGAGTTTGAGCAGGAGTAACTTCACTCTTGTACATTTGTCTGGGTCTGTCAGCTCTAAAAACCACCCCACCATCTCCAGAGGAGGAGTCAGAGCTCGGGGTTGTGAAAAAAGTCACTTCTTCTTTACCTTACTCATCTTTTACTTGAACAGTACTTTCAGTCCTCTTCTGACTAATGCCTGGACGTGTGTGCATGAATATGAGTGTGTGGCTGTTTGTTTGTTGTTTAGTTAGCATGAAACCTAATTGTGTAAATGATGTTCCTCAGAGAACTTACTTTATTAAAACACTTCATTTCACTCAAATGTTTATTTTATTAAAGTTCTTTAATAAGGTTTTTTATTGGCATTGAAGGTTCCATGAAGAACCTTTAAAATCCATGGAAACGTCCATTGCACAAAATGTTCTTTATAGATGAAAAAGAAAAAAAAACATTGTTCTATTAAGAACTATTCATTGAAAGGTTCCTTGGGGAACCAAAAATGGTTCTTCTATGGCAACGCTGTGAAAACACCCTTTTTGAACATGTATTTAATAAGTATGTATAATAAGCCCACTCATTTCACCATTTGCCTTTCCTTTGGATCTCAAATGTAAGTGCATTATATGTTTAGAGTGTACTGAAATGAATACAGATAAGGGTCTCCAACTGAAGTGTTGACACTGTGTTCTCTGTGGGGAAGTATAAATGAGTGCTATCTTAGGGATTTGTGCTGTCAGAGTGAAAATTCAATTAAGCTGATGGATGTGCATTGGGATTGGGCAACACTTTTGTGAAATACCAGCACCGTCTGTTGCCTGTTTGAAAAAACATGTGAATGAAAGGCAAAAGGGGAATTTTTAATTTTGTTAGTAAAAACTTGATGCTGACTCTAATATGACATCTAAACATTTAACGGTCTTCGGTCACTTCTGACTGGAGAATTTAACATTTTAAATTTAAAAAAATCGTAGCTTCACCGGAATGGTACGAAACTTGGTATGTGAAAAAAATTTGAGGGCATGATTTGAAAAAGCTAAGTGGTTGTAAAAAAAAAAAAATCACATTCATGGTCATTCCAAAAAAAGTAGTCACATTCAGACAGCAACTGTATGTTTCTTTACCTTGAAATATCAGTTTCAAAGTCATTCTAGTGGTACACTGATTTCTAATTAGGTGCATTGCTGTTGTTACTTTAACACACTTCCCTCTAGTGATGGGTGCTTTCGAAGCACTGCTTCGTGAAGCTTCGAAACTTTTGTGAATCATTTGTTTTGAAACAGTGGTTCGGAGCACGTATCAAACTGCCAAGGTCACGTGATTTCAGAAAACTGTTTCAAAACGTTTCGAAATTTCAATGGTTCGTCGTTGGGGGGGGGGCCGACGAACTACTGAAGTAGCCCCCCAGCGCGAACTACTGAACCAGCGTCTATGGTTTTTACCTGATCTCGGATCAGTTTCATCAATTTGTTGATGTATGCACATATTATACAGACACTTCACATTTTATGGTATTTTATTATTTTATAGCATTTAATGTATTATACTTTAAATAAAACATTTGCAATGGGTTTTTAAAAGCTGTGAATCGTTAAGCAATTGGTTCGGTTGATTCGAAGCCTTCTATGGGTTTTACCTGATCTCGGATCAGTTTCATCAATTTGTTGATGTATGCACATATTATACAGACACTTCACATTTTATGGTATTTTATTATTTTATAGCATTTAATGTATTATACTTTAAATAAAACATTTGCAATGGGTTTTTAAAAGCTGTGAATCGTTAAGCAATTGGTTCGGTTGATTCGAAGCCTTGACAAGGTTCGTTTCTCCCATCACTACTTCCCTTAAATGTGTGTTCTGGAAGTATGTAGGTTTGGCGAACTGGTACGAAATTCCGCAAAAAGGACAGATTGCTTTACGGCAGCAATAAATGCGCGTGTAGAGATCCACTGGAATTACGAAAGTAAATTCCACTCGCTTAACTGTAGGGGGCTCTAACGTCGCAAAGATACTTAAAAGTACATATAGTTGCTTTAAAACCACAATTAAATCAAAACGGACAGAATTAAACATTTTTAATGTTTGTTCAATAAACCGTTTCACTCGGATATATGTCACAATAGGGAAGAAAAGACTATCTCAACTTCCTTTTCACACTGGTTTTAACAACAGTTTTTTTTTTTTTCAGTTGCAGCTAGTCTCACAGGTCCTGATCTCCAGCTGGAACACTCCACAGTCTCCTGGAACCAATTACTCAGGATATGTCTCAATTTGTTCTGGGCTTAGGTTCAGTCCAAATGAAGAGTGACATACAGTGATGATGATGATGATGATGATGATGATGGTGGTGGTCTTTTGAAGAAAGGTCAGTCCAGTAGCCATCACCCCTTCTTTACCTCTTCACCCATGGACATCTGGAGTGCTGGTCTGAAAATGTAAATAACATCTCTGACCTCTGCTTGCTGAGAACTCTGGAGGTGTGTGTGAGTGAGACAGAGTCCAGCGGAGCCAATTCCTCAATCCATGCATAATCTGCTTTATAACAGCCAAATATACTGAGGGAATTCCTCACTGAAGACCAGAAACCAGATTTCGCATTGCATTTGTATACAATTCATTCAGCAATTCAGCAACCTTATTAAAGTTACACTGTGATGAACTGGCCATCCATCCAGGGTGTTTCCGAACTGAACTGAACTTTTTTTTTTCATAATTGATTAACTTTGCAACATCGAGACTGTCACTGAACTGTAGGCCTATCATATCTACTAAACTGAGCTGATTAATGATACTATTGCCTTAGAGCTGCTTTAGCTAAATTGAATTCATTTAATAACTGATGAACTTGGAAACACTGACAGTCATTAAACTAAATTTAATCAACATTGAACTAAATTGAGCTGAAAAATTATGACTGTCTTTTGTAGAACTGCTTTACAGCTAAAAGTGCAGTCATTTCATAATCATTTAACTTTGCAACCCTTATTTTCTCATTTATTACTGTGAAGCTGCTTTGAAACTATGTGTATTGTATAAAGATGTAAATAAATGTGACTTGACTCAAAAGCACTCAGAGGCCTACGATTAACTTCTGTTTTCATTTCTCAGGGAATAAATATGGCACTTTTGAAAGTTGAAAGGCTCAAAGGGTTAGTTCACCCAAAAATTTAGATTTGTCCATGTTTTACTCACCCTCAAGGCATCCTAGGTGTATATTACTTTCTTCTTTCAGTTGAATCCAGTTGAAGTTATATTAAAAATTGTACTGGCTCTTTCAAGCTGTATAATGGCATGGGCAGGTGTTTTTGTTCAACAGTCCAAAAGTAGTGAAATAAAACACGCGCATCCATATTAAAACGAGCATCACACGGCTCCGGGGGGTGAATAAAGGCCTCCTGTAGCAAATCAATACATTTTTGTAAGACAAATATCCATATTTAAAACGATATAAACACCTTTTTCTCACTTCTGCTAACTGTCGTAGGCGGAAGCATATGCGACGCGTAAGTGCCGGTGATTAGTGACGAGCACAGAAGCGTGACGGAGAGAGAACAAAACAAAACACCAGTCACGAATTAGAAGAACAAACCTTTGGTATTCAAATTTTAACTATTTTAACAATGTCCTTACTACCTTTCTGGGCCTTGAACGTGTCAGTTGCGTTGCTGTATATGCAGGGTCAGAAAGCTCTTGGATTTCATCAAAAATATCCCAATTTGTGTTCTGAAGATGAACGAAGGTTTGAAACGACATGAGGCTGAGTAATTCAATTCAATTCAATTCAAGTTTATTTGTATAGCACTTTTCACGATGCAAATCATTGCAAAGCAGCTTTACAGAAAATTAAAGTTTCTACATTATATTTAGTAATAGCTTATCAGTGGTGACTATCTCAAGTTGATGTCCATATGGCAGGAATGTATGGTAAAAATCAAGCAGTTAGTTAATGTCATGTAATCAAACAGAAGGTGAACACTATTAACAGCAATGATTATGTTGCAATCAAACTTATAGCAAAATTTGGTAGTTTTGTATGTTGTCTGAGGGTTGACATCATTTGAGGTCTTCGGAGGGGTTGGCATCATCTCTTCTCAGGTGTTCGGTCATCTCAGGTCTTTGTAAGGGCTGGATCCAGACTGAAGCTTGTGTAATTCCCAGTTAGGAAACAGAGAAGGAAATAGAGAAAAATTAGCGTAGCTGCTGTTTCAACCAAACAAAAATTATGTGTTCAACCCAAGCGAAAGAATGAAAATGTGCATTTGATCAGATGTAACTGAAGTACAAGGTTATGAGATACATTATGTGAATGCTTGGCTAAAGAGATTTGTCTTTAATCTAGATTTAAACAGAGAGAGTGTGTCTGAACACTGAACGTTATCAGGAAGGCTATTCCAGGGTTTGGGAGTTCACATTCATCCAAATGTGAAAAATCTCTACCTCCTTTAGTAGACTTTGCTAATCTAGGAACTACCAAGAGTCCGGAGTTTTGTAACCTTAGGGAACGGGATGGATTGTAGCGTGATAGAAGACTAGTTAGGTACGCAGGAGCTAAACCATTTAGGGCCTTAAAAGTAAGTAGTAATATTTTGTAACTGGTACGGAACTTAATAGGTATCCAGTGTAGAGATTGTAATATTGGGGTAATATGATCATATTTTCTTGACCTGGTAAGGACTCTAGCAGCTGCATTTTGGACTACCTGTAGCTTGTTTATTGAAGATGCAGGACAACCACCTAGAAGTGCATTACAATAGTCCAGTCTAGAGGTCATGAATGCATGAACTAGCTTTTCTGCATCAAAAACAAGTAGCATGTTCCGTAACTTGGCAATGTTTCTAAGATGGAAAATTGCTGTTTTTGTAACATGGGAAATATGATTTTCAAAAAGTTGCTGTTTAATATAACACCCACATTTTTGAATGTAGAGGAAGTAACAGCACATCCGTCTA